AAAAAAAAAAAAATTACTAATATGTTGAGTATACAAGAGGATTTAGATAGGCATTTGGACCATCAGGTTGATGCTCTTTGTCCTATTTAAATTATTGGAAGAAGGTTCAGAGTTTAAGAGTAAGGAGCCATCTCGAGTGTCATGGCAAATACCAATGGAGTTGTGTTACTTCTAAAATTTACAATAATAGTCATTATATTTAGGAAAATATTTAAAGACACTTGCAGGGTATTTGACATAATTCTAACAAATCTCTGGATGTTTTGACTTTGCATAGTGAGCTTACGAATTTAAAGAATGTTGCTCTGCTGAGCTTTAATGCTGAAGATAATGTTGATAAAATTATCTGTGGCTTGAGGTCAGTATTTCCATTTTGGTCAAGCATCAAGAATGTAATATATAGCTTGATCATGCTCACCCTACATGCAGCATACACCAAATGATTTAAGGCCCCAGACATATATACACCAGAGAACTCAGTGAGAGAAGATGCACCTAACTTTTGAAAGATTTGAGGCACCAGGGATTAGGGAGGTCCGGTGGGGTGGGGGTAGGAGATGGGGACATCCTCTTGAAGACTGGGGTGCTGGAAGGAGGTAAACACTAGACTGTTAAAAAGTATTAAAGAATGAAATAAATAAATTTGAAAAATAACATTAATAATTCTAACTAGAGTAAGAGAACATTTCATAGTGTTTTGGGTTTGAATTTCCCTGATGATGAGTGATGAGTACTTGTGTACCTGATGGCTTCTTATATGAGTGCCTTCCAAAAAATACCTATTTAAATTCATGTTTATTTTGGAGAGCTTTTTCTTCTGTAAGATTGTTTAAACTTAAATAATCTAGATATTAATTCCTTGTCTAAAGTGTAATTTACACATATTTTCTTCCATTGTACAGATCAAAGTAAAGGTTTTCTCTTTATTGTGTTTGTTATATAGGAAACAAACATACAAGCAAAAAATATACTCTTCCCAATTCTGGTATTCTCATGTGGCTTATGTTTCCTTCTCAAAATTTCAAAGTTTCACATCTTACATTTAGGGTTTGGTGCATTTTAGGTTGACTTATATCAGCAAGACACAGAAAACAATTCTCTTTTTTCTGTCTGTGGAATACCCATTTTCCTAGTACTGCTTACTGTAGAGACAGTTTTTTGGCCAGTGCTTGTTCTTAGGATTTTTGTTCAAAATCACTTAATTGGAGATCTGTGGATTTACTTCTATGGATTCAATACTGTTTCAATGTTCTCTTTGGTGTTTGCCTAGAAACTTTGCTGTATGTTAAAAAAAAAAATTCAAATGCTTAACTCTAATCCTTATCAGTTAAATTAGGTTGATTTAAAGTTTTTGACAGACATTTTCTCTAAGCCCATATTACCAAAGAAAATCTTGGAATTCAAGTACCTGCAAACAAAATTACAGTTTAAAATTTTATGGTACCATAACCAGGAAATAACATTTTGGAGATAGAGTCTTAAAAGTGAAGCATTCCTTCTTTTAAAAGGCTCATAATTATCTGGAAGTTTGCAAAACTCACCTTATTGACAAGGCAGTGCCCCAAGAGCACATTAACACTAAACAGTTTCTGGAAGAAAGCAGAATGCAGGGAGCTGACTGCAATTTAGACAGAGCCTGAATATGGCAGCTTTAATGATCTGCCCATGCTTGTGTGGTTTCTTCAGTTAGGCACCTGCCTATGAATACCTTATTCCTGCCAGTAACTTCTTGTCTAGACCTACGTAAATAACCCCAAAATACCCATTGTTTCATAGAGCCAGACTTGTACCACATTGTTTCTTTGGTTCTATGGTTAAATAGACTTTCTTATTGTTTTCCTAGGAGAAGTCACAGCCTTCACTGTGAAGCATCTGTACTCCTCTCACTCATAGTTGTGAAGAACACTAATGAGGTATTCCCTGCCTAGCAGACACAATGAAACAGTCTCATAGAATATAAGTTTCTATTTATGTTTCTTATAATTAAATTATTTCCTGTCGAGATAAAGAAATAAAATGTAGTAGACTTCTTAAAGTACACATGTAACTTTTGGAATTGTGATATATCTCACCAGGAAGTCTTAACCAAATTCCTCAGTCCCACCATACCAAAAAATAAAAAATAAAAGAACACATAAATAAATAAATAAATAAATAAATAAATAAATAAATAAATAAAATCACTAATAGAAAATAATAACATGAAATGTTACATTGAAACCATATTTGCAACCCTTTAATATGAGGCTCTTATGGGAATTAATGCATTTTTAAATTTTTACTTCAGGTTCCTACAGATAAGCTCTCTGCAATCGTGGTTTATATTCTTATACTACCCCGATCTCTGTAATAGAACATATTCTTACAAAACTTTCAATATCTGTGATAGTTTATATTCTCTTACATTCTCCTTCTTACAATCATTGGGAACAATTCTCCTGAAGTTCAGTCTTTCTTCAGAAGTTTTTTTTTCCCCTTGTGCTTCTCTTTCTTTTTTAAAACTTCTTTTAAAGTACAGCTGGTATAGAAAAAATCACAATCGCATAAGCCTATATCTGACACAAAATTATAAAGGTAGAGTTTCACAAAAGCTAGGATTTTACTCTTGCTAATAGACCATGTAATTAATGACTGTTCTACCAAAAAGAAAATAAATAACTGTCTCATGACACAGAAAATGCACTAAAGTCAATTCTATAAGCTACTATGTAATTTATAATAGCATTGTATATAACATATGTGTGTGTGTGTGCGTGTCTATAATTTTTCAATTTACTGCTCTAAGACAATCAATAATGATTATAAAGACAGTAGTACACAGTCTGACTGTAACAAAGTTTGTAGTGAGGTTGTCTGAATGTTGTCAAGGCCTTCCTGCAGCAGCATTTCATGTCAGAATAAGACAGAGAGGCTAGAGCAAGAGTCAGTATGCAAGGAAGAGAATGAGCAGTAGAGGGACAAATATATTATTTTATGAAGAATCCAATTCTATAGAAATGATTTCAGGTCTTTAAAAGCTGCATCAATGCAATCAGTACAACTGCTGTCTGGATTGATCATCTCTTAAAAGAACTATAAAGTACTTTATATTGACAATTACATTTCATAATGATTCATGGGAGACCTAAAGTATGGTAAAGCAGATATTATGTGCTATTCCTGTCAAAGAGCATTTGAAAATTAAAACATTTAAAAGCTGTTATCATACAGCAGCACCCAAAAACAAAACCTTAGGAATACCTCAAAAAGATATCTGCACCAGAGTTTTCATTGTCTATTCAAAATTGTTTCATTACATCACCTTTACAATTTATTTACTTATATGTCTATTTTTATTTGTGTGTGTACAAGTGTGAGTGTGTGTGTGTACATGTGTATGTGTGCATGCATACACATGCATTCACTTGCCTGTACTTACTACAGTCCAACAACCAGTTTATTTCCTTGGGCATTTATCACGTGAAATTTCAGAAACTATCTTTGACCAAGAACTTAATGATTAAACTAAGATTGCAGGCCAGTGAGCTTACAGACCCACCTATCTGTAACTGTCCATTGTGGTCATTAAAAATGTCTTCCTTACATTACACTTTGGTTTTCAGGTGAAGAGGGATGAGGGTCAAGAGGGTTAATTAGTCTCTCAGTCTTACGTGTAACCCATTTATTTACTGTCTAATCTTCCCAACTTTGTCTTTAATTTAAAGTCATTGATTATTAAGACAATTATACCATGATTTTTCCAGTGAATGAAGAATATGATTTTTGAAATTTTGAATATGCATCTTTATGAAGGACATTGTTCGTGTCTTAAAATTCACTGGGAAAGTTCTATTGACCACCCTTGTGGCTTTCTGTATGTAGAATTGATTTGAAGATTCATGGTTTAAAAGTCCATTGTTATTAGAAAATTGTGAGTCCTTCCGCCATGCAGTGGTGATTCATTAAATAGGCTCTTTCCTGTGTCATTAAAAGTTTCATTTGAAGAGAATAATATTCTTGGCTCATACTGATCACAACTAGATAAGTCACTGATTTTCATAGAACATATGTGCTATGGGTTCTACTTCCAATGACCTTGTGGAGGCATCAGACAATATTTAATAACACATAGATGGAAAGACTCTGTTTCTAGTGTTGCCAAGTTATAGTGGTGCTTCTGAGCTGAGGACATTAGTTTGGAAAGCCCTTTCTTTATATCTTTCAAAGGCACACTACATAGTGGGAATAGATTAGTGTGGTCACTATGCTCCCAGTTCTATCACCTCTCATGGATAGGGCTAAGTGGTTCATTATAAAATAAGTTTCATGGAGTATTTCTGCTGTCATTGTAAAATTTCACATCACATTCAAGATATCATCATTTGGTTTCATTATCAAAAATGTGTCATAACCCATTTGGTTGGGCATATTACAAAGCTGGACAATAAAAATGGATGTTGAAAATCTGGAGTACATGCAACACTTTGCTTATGGACATCTACAATTATGCAGCCATGTTATAAAACAGTCTGGTAGTACAAAATGTGAGTTACTATAGCAATTGGGAACGCTTTCAAATTAAATGACATATGGTCACCAAAGAAAGTAAATCAGGAATAGAGAAAGACTATTTGACTCACAACTTAAAAATAAGACAAATAATAACTGTACTGTCCAATGGCATGCTTTTATTTATTATTTTTGTAAACTTTATTTGGACTTTTTCCAATAATTAATACTTTTAAGAATGATAATGATTTTTACAATGATAATGATATAGAGAATTTATTTACTTTACTGATGTCCTCAAATTGTTGTAATAGTGAAGGACGAAAACTTTACAACGGTAGGGATCAAAGAAAACCTACTAAAAGTGAAACACATTACAAATTCTCTTCTCCATGTTAAACCCCCTCCTCCAACACACACACAATGCATTGAAGAATCCAAGAAAATATACTGACAAGTACAAAATAACTTTTGGTGTTATAACTAAAGGTAAAACACATAACAGATTCTGTTTAAAATTTTCTTTTGGTTAAGGTTTTTTTCAGAGCAATTTTAACATCTTTGTTCCTAAGGCTATAGATTAATGGATTCATCATGGGGACCACAATGTTGTAAAAGACAGAAGATATTTTACCCTGATCCAAAGACCCAGATGAGGAGGGTTTCAAATACATATATGCACATGATCCAAAGAACAGGGAAACGGCTATTATGTGGGAGCTACATGTGCTGAAGGCTTTGGACCTGCCTGCTGTGGAACTTATTTTGAGGATGCTGGAGAGGATGAAGCCATAAGATGTAAAGATGATGAGAGTGGGTAGAATGATGTTTTTTCCTGATATAATTAAAGCCTCTAACTCATTGACATAGGTGCTGGTGCAGGAGAGCTTCAGCAAAGGGAGGAAGTCACAGAAATAATGGTTGATTGTGTTTCCATCACAGAAAGTCAGTCTCAGAATGCATCCAGTGTGGATCATGCCATCAGAAAACCCCATCAAATATGAAGCAAGTGTAAGATAAGAACACACTTTAGGAGACATAACAGTGTTATACAAGAGTGGATTGCAAATGGCTACATAGCGATCATAGGCCATCACTGTCAGCATATAACACTCAGAAATGCCAAATAAACAAAAGAAGTAGAACTGGGTCATGCATCCCTCATAAGAAATAACATTCTTCTTTAGTACAAAGTTCATCAGCATTTTAGGTGTAACGACTGAACAATAAAAAAGGTCTATGCAGGACAAGTTAAGAAGGAAAAAGTACATGGGAGTGTGAAGGTGAGAATTCAGAACAATTAGCATGATCAAAGCCAAATTCCCCGTTGTAGTTATCATGTACATCACCAGAAAAAGTAGGAACAGGGGTATTTGTAGGTCAGGTTGGTTTGTTAACCCCATCAGGATGAACTCAGTGACCAAAGAAACATTTTCCAGAGCCATTCTTCTCTAAAAAAAAATCTATGAGAAGAAAAAAGATGAAATTAATTAACCTAAAAGAACACACCATCAAAACTTCTCCTAAATAAATGAGGTACATATTAGAAATGTCTGAAATTTATTAATTTGAAAAAACAGTCACTATTTATGATTCCACATTCCTCAATGGCATAGTCTATCCCTTTAAAAATGAAGTATATTTTAGAACATCAACAACAATGTATACAAGCTGACTGGAGTACTGTCATACACAGTACAACTATTAGAAAAACTAAGAGTGAAGTAGGTTGTGCCAAGTCAAGTTGCCCTTGGTCTCTTTTCTGTTGCTTCTTTGACCCAGCCTCTTCCTTGGGCTGGAAAAGGCTAGTGTAAAGGTTCTAAACTTCACCTAAATTTAGCCCTTGCATAACATAGACAAAATAACTTAATTGTACAAATAGTTAATGTAGTGTACTAGGTGTCTACTCTGGTAGTTTAAAAGAGACCAGCAGATGTTGATTGATTAAATTCTTATACAATAAAACCAGTGGTTTATTGTGTATATTTCAAAATGTAGTAAGCTTGGACTGGGCAATAACTAGAGAACTATCTGTTGCATCAATACAGAATTGAAAGGATCAGTTTTAATAGTGTTTCTGTGGTTTATCTGAGTCTGTATCTCTCTCTGTCTGTCTCTCTATCTCCATTTCTGACTATGCCTCTCTCTGTCTCTATCATTGTCTCTGTTTCAGCTTGTTTCTATCTACTTTCTCTCTCTCTCTTCTTCTTCTTCTTCTTCTTCTTCTTCTTCTTCTTCTTCTTCTTCTTCTTCTTTTTCTTCTTCTTCTTCTCTCTTCCTCTCTCACTCTGTGTGTGTGTGTTGTGTGTATGTATGTATGTATGTATGTATGTATGTATGTATGTATGTATGTACAAACTCATGCAAGTATCTTTCAAGCATATAGTTCATAAGGAAATAAACAAATTGAAAAGAATACACTTTGGTACACAGTTATTGTGAACCACCTTGAAAGTAATAATCTCCAGGTGGATGATCTTTGTGAGGCAAATATGGGCCATGATAATAAGGGCCATCCAAATAAGAACCCACAGGAGCTTCAGGTCAGGTTCTGTTGCTAGGATGCAGATTCTTGAAGTCAGCTCCAGCATTCTTGATGTGCTTGAGATTCCTAAACTTAGAAAATTTCCGTTGAGTGGACTACTTTCTTTTTCTGGTTTCTTATTGATGGACCACTCTCTAGTTTAGTTGCTAGCCCTCTCACAACAAAAATCATAAACTCAAAAGTGAGCTCTATCTACTGAAAAGACCTTGTTGATTGAGACACCAAAAGCAATTCCTGTTTTACTGACTCTGCAGAAATCTTCTGCCCAGTTCTCAGGATATTTCCTATTGAATTTGGGTTAAATTTTATGACGGTACAGATTGGAAAAGAAAGGAAGATCTTGGGTGCTGGGATTCAGCTCAATACAAAGCCTTTCTGCAAACATAGTGATCTCAATGCATAAAATGGAAAATATTTTATGACCTCTATGGTTACTGGAGCAAAGGGGAGGAGAAAAATCAGAATTAAGGACTAAATGGATGCCAAATGTCATTGTATAAATTGATGAATAAGAAAAAAATAAGTACTTATGCTAAATGTTGATTTTAAACCTTCAAGGTCTTTATGATAAAAAGAAATCCATTCAATTCAGAAAGATGCCTAGACCTAGAGATCTACTGTTCAACATGTTAACAGGAGTAATGTCCTATTGTTAACTTACATTTATTAAGAGGGTTTGTCTTAAAGTTACCTTCTCACTACATTAAAACCAAATAAAAGCAGTCCTATGTTCATAAATACATGGGTTTAAACAAATTAGTCTCATATGAACATTTTAGAGTTTACAGATAGCTAAGTGAAAGGGCCAATTAAAAAGTAAAATATCTATTGGCATAGAATTCAAAACTTACCCTTCTTTGGCGAGAGAAAGGTTCTTGCTTACTTACAGGATTTATTTACCCTGGTATCCTGAGGAGGACTTAGATGTCCTTGATTCCAAGGTGATATAGTACAGAATTAATATCCTATACTCATTGGAAATCTTTTTTCTGATCATAATTTACAAAGTTATTCCCTAACACTCTGAAGAATCACAGGGAAGCATACGCCTTTTCTTTTTATCATGTTGGCCACTCGGTGAGACACTAGATATTTTACATAATTTACTCCTGTCCTACATGTGGCTATGGCTAAGGAAGGGTCTTTCTCAGTCTCTTCTCTGGACACAGGCCTCAGAATAAAGAGGGAATGGGGTTATTGCATTTGCATGCTAGACTGTGATGTATGTCTAGACCGTTAGGAACCAGTTCTATATTCAGTTATACATTCCCCTTTAGGGAATTTACTTCCTCTCTGCTGGGACTAAGACTGACCTACCATCTGCCATTCACCTTCATCTCTTAAGGGAAATCTGTTGTTTCTGTTGTTTTCTCTTTGTTTCCATATCCTTTTAAGGGAATCTTCAACAGAATCAATTTCCCTTATTGTCTACTGTCACATTATTTTTATGTTTTTTTTTTCAAGGAGCTCACTTTTTATTAAATATTTTTCTCAAAGCCATGCCTTGTTTTTATAGATCTGTATAAAACTCAGGAAGTCACCCATGCTAGGCATGTGCTCTACCACTGAGCAATATATCTAGACCTCCAAAACACTAAAATCACATTTATTGCATGATGTGAAGCAAGGTATTCTTTTATTTACACCACTCAAGAAGTAGAGGCAGGAAAATCTCTGTGAGTTCAAGGCTAGCCTGATTCTACATACTAAATACCAGGCTATCCAGGGCTACAATAATAATATATTTTCTTAAATAAATAAATAAATATCACAACAAAATCACATTTATGGTATTGCAACTCAACTTAATATTTTTAAACAATTATTAAAAAATGCTGAGTGGGTGCCCTGCTTGATAATTAACAGTTTAGTAACAAGATGAACATTTTTTTCAGTAAAAGACTTGTTATTAAGTGAATAAAAACAAGCAAATAAAAATCTGTAAGTGTATGTAAGTGTATTATCTATATATTAATGAAAGTAGTAAAAATTTAATCATATGTGAGTTTAATTTATTTTTGCTTGTTTTTAGTTTTTTCTATTTTCAACATTTAAAAATTACTATACACTAGCCTTTCACTTTAGTGAAAAATCAAGGTGGAAAGGGAAGGTACACACAAATAAAAATAAAAATTAATGTAAGTTAAAACAACTTTTATATAGCATCTCATTACAGTCAGAATGACTGTTATCAAGTAATCAAATGAAAGCAAAGGGTAGATTCAAGTACCACTTGAAGGTGGACCTGTAGTCTTCACACACACAAACTATAAACATGTATAAAGTTCATTCAAGGTTTAAAAATCACAGAAGATACTACTCATTTTTATCTTTATTAAAGACTACTTCAAATTTTATAACTACAAACATATATATGAAAACATATAAATACACACACACACATACACATATGTATATACTAATGAAAATACGTAATTGTTCTGATGCACAATTCATCAGGCCTTATATTTAATTTATAATTACTATGGCTACATTAATTAGAAATTATATAAGCAAATGATCACTTCCTCTGATTTTACTTGTAATTTAAAATAAATTCCCATGTATGTTGTTTATGAGTAACTATGCCAGACAATAGATATCCACAGTGAAGTAATTAAATTCAACACAACAAAATATTCATTATCTGATATAATTGTTACATCTTTGTAGCCTGAAATATAAAATTTATTCTTTTATAAATTAAACAAAAGTCATTAACCAGAGTCACTATGTGGTATATTGGACTCAAATGTAATTTTCCTCATTGACATCATATACATGATCTGCCTTCTTCTTACTATATTCTTACACAGTTCCCTATATTTTTGTTAATTTTGATTCTATGACAAAATGAGAAAGCACCTATTATTTGTCATTTATGGTTTTAGACATGAAAGATGTCAATGTATTGTAATGTTAAATTTACTTTTCTTTGAGGATAGAAATAGCCTAGGAGAAAAGTATGCAACATTGATAAAAATTGCCTGTATATTTATTGCATGCTTGATATGGTAGCAATCATTTGGTGCACCTGTTAAATTATGCTGAAGACACAGAAACAAAGATGAAATTATCCATATATTATAAAGAAAGATAATGAAAGTATATATTGATATAAAAATGATCTTCAGTGAAAGGACCAAGAAACAAATAAGGTTCTCTGATTCCTTACAGGATTTTTGTTTCTAATTACAATGTCTCTTTTCTCTGGAACTTAAGGATTATCTTAGTGCCACCTTGACTTCTTTGTTTCTCAAACTGTTAATCAGAGGGTTGAGCATGGGCCCAACATTAGTGTAGAAAACTGAAGATATCTTTCCTTGTTCCATAGATCCAGAAGAATATTTAAGATACATGAATGCAGCTGATCCAAAGAAAAGAGAAATCTTCATGATGTGAGAGCTACAGGTGCTGAAGGCTTTTGATCTTCCTTGTGTGGATTTGATGTTTAGAATATTGGCAAGGATGAAAACATAGGAAATGAGAATGGTAAAGCTAGGGACTGTGATGTTAATACCCACGACGATGAGAACCATGACCTCATTGACATAGGTGCTGGTGCAGGAAAGTTGGAGGAGAGGGAGAATGTCACACAAGTAATGGTTGATGACATTGGCATTGCAGAAGGTCAGTTGGAGCATGCAGCCTTTGTGGGCAGACGCTCCAGCAAACCCCATCCCATAGGCAGCAAAAGATATCACAGAACAGACCTGTGGGGAAACGGTGACCTTATACAACATTGGATTACAGATGGCCACATAGCGATCATAGTCCATTGAGGTCAACATGTAGCATTCAGAGATGACAAAAAAGAGAAAGAGAAACAGCTGAGTCATTCACCCCTCATAGGAGATGGAATTCTTCTCAGAGACAAAGTTCATCAGCATTTTGGGACTGGATACAGAAGAGCAGGAAAGATCAATGAAGGAGAGATTAAAGAGGAAATAGTACATGGGGGTGTGCAGGTGAGGATTGAGGCCAATCAGGATAATTAAGCCAATGTTCCCCACCACTGTGATTATGTAGATCATTAGAAACAGGTAAAAGAGAGGCAGCTGGAGCTCTGGACGATCTCTCAAACCAGCAAGGACAAACTCAGTCACAAAGGAGCCATTTCCAGTCACCATGGTTATCATTAAAAA